TTAAACTTGCTACATCTGAAACGAGTCATACATATTCTCAGATGTACTGGTATGGGGAGTGTAAGATATTTTTCTACATTGAACAGGGATTTAAAATGTTTATAATAAAAGGTATCAGATATACTGTTGATAGAACTACACCATGATTGTTGAAGGTTATCAAATAATCTTTGCATAAAAAGATGAATAAATATCTTCACATTGCCAACATCTTGTGTTAACCATACATATCCTAAACCTAATTTGAACAAGATTTTCTTAATTCGAGTAGCCCATGCGGTGCGACCGGAATGGTCCAGTGATTTGAGCATTAAATAGCATTGGCGAGGCAGTGTGTGCTCGTCCAAACGCAGTAGCCTGCACCAATACTTGATGGCCCATATGGTATACACACACTGGAGAGGGGCTCTTCCGGAATCTCCTAAAACCATTGCATTGTTTGTTGTTTTACCTGTATTTAGGATGACATTCATCGTCCGATTGTCCAACCATTCCTACAGCAGCCGCTACGTGGTGTGACAACACCAGACCACATACATGCCGAATCATACTTGCAGCCAAACGTAAAGGTGTTACCATGGCCAGCATACTCCCAACACATGTCCACCATAGAACACCTCTGGTATATCATTGATCGTTGTATTCGACAGCGACCACATCCTCCAGCCAACCTACAAGAACTGATCCAGTCCCTTCAAGAAGAGTATCCCATCAGACGACAGATTCTGTTCGCCGGAGAGTTTTTGGTGTCTTGTAGCACGCATTTAATGTAATAGAACTTGAGCGATTTTAGATGTGTGTGCCCTTTGTCCGTTATGTTGAGAGCTTGTTTTTGATACCTAACCTCAATTCGGACAACTGTCATTATCAGATGCTGTATATATTTTAAATGTTGATTTCGTTGAGATGTTGATATTTTCAATACATTTTACTTCATGCATCTACCTTTTGTGTTTTTTTTAACTTGAGTGATTTAAAACTATGGTAAAGTTTCTTTTGGCCCTCAGTTCAAAATGTTTTTTCATGACCTCCCCAAACTATGGCGGCTAGTTGTTGGTCGAAGTCTCCCACAAGCAACTACCAGCTGTTGTGCTCACCAGCGTGAACACGTGGCATCCAAGGGACAGGACATTAGTTCACGATATTTATAACGACAACCAAACACAAAGTTGTTTCAAACATTTATTATGATAAAATACAAAATTATAAATTTGGCGTATGGGGAATTCTCAGGTTTGATTACGGGTGCCCATGATTGAGCATCAATCATGCCAAGCATTGGAAACGATTTGGCCACTTGCAAATAATAACATGACACGGCCAAATCGTTGGCACTAAGTGTGTACATGATCGAGCATCGGTCATGCCCAAGCATTGGGATCAAACGCTGGCTATAGTTCTGAGCCTCAGAGCACAGCGAGTGACTACACAGAACGTACAAAATGGTGCTATAAATGAGCATACAAGTAGCCTACGAGTTGGATGTGGATTATTGAACTTTAGGGGGAACTATCCCAGCAATTTGAGGAGGATAGTAAGGCCACAATTCGAGCCAGATGTGGATAAAATAAAATACCATGATACAGCTGGCTGAGAATACCCCATAAAGAAAATAATACCTAGTAATGGCATATAGGATTATTACGCCTGAACGACATTGGACTTGGACTATAACGCCAAGGCTTACTCTGAAGGAGTTACACCATTGAGAGGCTGCACAGGAAGATTGACAAGGTCAGACAAAGTAAGAGTCAACCATAAGATTAGTGCACTATCAGCTGTTGTGCTCACCAGCGTGAACACGTGGCATCCAAGGGACAGGACATTAGTTCACGATATTTAATCGAGACTCACAATTCTTCTTTGAAGCTCTTTTTCTGTTTCACTGTTGTGAAGCTGTCACTGTTTCTCTGGAGTTATACCGAAATTAATCTGTAGAACATGTAGTCCGCCTCGTGAGCGAATGCCCATCTGTATGTGTGTATGTGTGTATGTGTATGCGTGCGTGTGGGCGTGTGTGAACACTCTCCCAAAAACGTAGTGGGATCATGAAATGTATATCTTTTGACTTCGTCAGAAGATAGTTCGGCTTTAAAAATGACCGCCCGAGTTTTGGTTCCAAACCGTTCTAACGCCCTAACACTGCCGAAACATGGACAGGAACACCACAAAACCGTGCGCGTGGGTAGGGGGTCATTCTTGATTTTGACACCAGTATATGGTCGTCAAATCACTGGGAGCGATCAGTACTGTTCTTTCTACTGTTGCTTTAATGCAGTATTTATGATCAGATTAGGAATGCGTCGTCTACAACTTGATGATCGTCTAAGTACTATTGGCATGTTTCAAAGAAGTAAAACTCTTCGAGGGGTAGCCAGTCAATGATTTGCAGATTGTGGAACAGGTTTCTGCAGACAGAAAATGTTAATGATCGGCCCGCACGGGGTGCTCAAAGTCAACAACACAAATGCAGGGTCGATTCATCAGAAACCGATCAAATCGCCCAAACAGCTGATCAAATCGCTGTTCGCTTGCGCCAGGGCACCAGAGTTCAAAGCAACCAAGTGTTGTACCACCATTAACAAATCGACACATTCTAGCCAGACGACAAAGGTGTTTAGATTATAGAAACTGGTGGAATTGTAGATGGTCTCCTTTCATGTTTTCAGATGGTCTAGTTTCTGGATAGTCGTACACATAACTGGAGGCGTCCTACCGAACGTCAACGTAAAGGCAACATGGCCTATTTGGGTGTGGGTCTGTAATGATATGGGATGGGGTCGCTATAACTGCAAGAACGCCACTACACATTGTACATGTCATTTGCACGCATTGCTTGTCCACACTTTCTCTTTCATGACGCCAACACTCGTGCCCACCGTGTACGTATCGTAACTGACAACCTCCTGCAGCAACACATCTTGAGAATAAAATGTCCAGCCACGAATCCCGACCTTCCCCCGACAGATCACGTCTGGGACTTGATTGGGAGACCCACCTTTTCTCAACCCTACCTAAACCAAGCGAAATGTTTATAAAAGAACTCTAAACACTGTGTTTTCGTTTAAAATGGAAAAATAAACCAGACAAAATCAGTAGAAGTATTATGATAAAACTTTATGAAGAGGGAGGTATAAGAGTGCCTGATATTAAAATACAATCAATGCTCAAAAGTTATCACACTTTTGATTAATAATACAACTCAAACACAAACTGATTTTCTGCAAAAATGTCAGTTCTATATTTCGGAAAAGGTTATTAATGATAGGACAATTGCATTCTGGAAAGATGTTCTCTGTGCATTGGGAAGCTTAATATAAAAAAGGGAAATTCTATCAAAGAGGAAAAACATATATTATCACAATCTGTAAGGCAAAATACGAATAGAAGAATTCGGAACACTCCGGTATATTATAAACATTACTCGAAAAAGGTATTAATCTTGAAAATGATTTGATAGACGAGAACGGCAATTTTCTAGATCTTTTAGACCTTCAACAAGTATACGACTGTAAAACACATTTTCTGGAATATTCTAGTCTTAGCCAAGCAATAAAACAATATCTAAAGCGTAAGAGTATAGCCCTAACATCTTAGTTACATCTGCCCTTAATACCATATTTCCTTGAACACTTAGTAGAGAGGGGGGATGTAGAAAATATATGATATATTAAATAAGGTTTCCAACAATATGATATCCCAAAAATACATTCAAAGATGGTAACTAGATCTGGCCTTACCATGACGGAAGAAGATTGGCAAACGATTAATCGTACCCCCCACAGATATAATGTCCTCAAAAAAAAGAGAGGTTCCAATACAGTATTATTCATAGAATTGTACCAACAAACGAGTTACTTTACAAAATGGGACATATTTCTCTGCATTTTTTGTAAACGAAAAACAAAACAAACCTAAGTGCACAAGTCTGGAACAACTCTACAAAATAGATCAAAGACAATACTAGAAAAACTAGAATTTTCAAAATTGACAATTTTATGAGGATATCAGCAAAAACGAAATGATGTATAAAATCATATTATAACTGTGACTAAGAAAAACATTCAAATCAAACATTTCCGACACCATGCCAAATTCCCCACACATGAAACAAGAACTAACCGATTCATACACAAACACATAATCGACACAAACATATCATATTCACAATATAAATACACACAGTCCATGACATTTTGGTCTCTCTGTCACCACCTATTCGATTAAACCCACAAAGATGCCTTAACATCCTGACACTGGAATAGCTTTTGTTTGTTATTATCCATAGATATACTTTGTAACTTGTATGTATTTAAGAATTGACCTTCACTTTGTGTGAGTTCATTGGAGTATAAACCTTCATAGAGTGAAGGCCAAACTGTATGAACGTCGGAGCTTGCTTGCAAAGTGAAAGTCAATTGTTATCAAAAAAATTATCACAATTTCTTACCTCAAAGGATGTAGGCCAAGATCTAAACACAATTTTATTTAGTACGTGTGGCTTTACATGTTTACACTGACAGCCATACAACAACCAGCTAATATAATAGTTCCTCAAAAAGACAGGTGACATGAGCGTATGGATGCATCACTTGCTCTTCAGAAACATCTTACACAACACATGTGTTCAAATCATATTTTCATTAGATGAGAAAGGGCTGTAAAGAACTACCTCAGTAAGTCAGTCACAATGACAGCGCGTCGTAATACATTTACATCAAGTACAAGACGTCAAAATGGCCGACACGATAAACGTGACCGGAGAGATTTCCAAAGTTGTTAATGAACCTGTGGCGGTTACATGTGTTAGTCATCATTGATCAACTTGCCGATCATTGAAAGGTGATTAAAGATGCGTCAAACAGACACTAAGGTAAATTCGTAGATTGCTGGAGACGGTCACAGTCAGCCTAGACACGGATCGAGTCGATACTACGACAGTTTTGATGTGCATTTCTTCGTTTGCTCATTAGGATGGGCCGTAGCGAGGATGTTCGTGAACAATCATGCAGTCAAGCTCTCTGAGTTTTCTCAATGCATACTGAAACGCTGAGACCAAGATTAAAGGTTCTAAAAGATCAGAAAGAACGCTTATGTTTGTTTTCGTGCTAGGGAATTCCCAGGGGGTTTCCCCATGAATGTGTAAGAAGTCCGTCAGGGTTTGCGTCATTTCAAGTACACAGTCTCGTGAAAAACGTATGAACGTCAAATTGTGCCGTTCATACACTTATGGACGTCAATTTCGCGGTCATGTGACCGACCTCTCGTCCAATGGAAAAGCCGTATATCGTGTAAACTTCAAATTAAAAAAATATTTAAGATTGCATGTGAACTATATTCTGTAAACTTATTGTTTGTGTACTCTAAAAAGAAATAAAATCATTAAAGCAAATGTTGCACCTATAGGTAGTCCTTCCTTTTCTTATCCATTCATTGTTTGTTTGTTTGTTGTTTAACGCCGCACTCAGCAACATTCCAGCTTTATGACGGCGTTCTGTAAATATTCGAGTCTGGACCAGACAGTCCAGTGATTGACCTCATGAGCATCGATCCACGATTGGGAATATCTGAAGGAGAAACTAAAGGCGTCTATTGATGGTGTTGCCGTTTTACGGTATATATACATGTATGATACCTAGCAGAAGCAGTAGATATTTAGTGTGTGGTTGTGGTTGTGCAGGGGCCCCGCTCACACCCAAGAGGGCAGCCAGAGAGGATGATTTTATCACTTGAATGCCTGAAAGAGATCAAGAGACATTGGACTATATTTGAAATTACAGGTTACAATAAAATGTGACCGATTTCATTGAAATACCTTTCCTTAGATGAAATTGCACTGCTTACCAGCGGGTGAGTGAGCCAGTGAATAGGGTTTAACGCCACTTTGAACAGCACTTCAGGTCTGTCACTGTGTGTCAGCTTGCGTCTACCCGCGCCAAAGGTGTTGACTGACTTTATAAAAGTCTCTTTTACCATTTTATAAGTCAGTTAACACTGCCGCGGGAATATGGTCAACTTGATGTGAAAGAAAATCCAGAAGAGATCTCTGACGTTTACTGCTTTGGTGAAAGATTACCAGTTACGTGCGCCTGCAATCTCATTAAAATAAGATCTTAGTTCTGGCTACTGCTGAAATATAGATCGGGGGATATCCCATTACGGGTCACGTGAGAAAGACCTTTCATCCGACCAATCAGAGCGTCGTTTACCATATCAGGAAAGTAACAATCGGACCATGTTGTTCTAAACATGCAACCTCAAAAAAGTTCAACACGTATAGAAATTAAAACAATGTGTACACCTTTTCGAGATATATAAGGATGCAGTGCAATCAACGAATCCTACTGATAATAGCACACACACAGGCATAATCGGTTCTCTCAACCGTTACCCAAAACTGACTGTCCCACTACGTCATAAAATCTCATCGAATCTATATACATACACAACATAGAATGTAACGAATGTAAGGATACAAACCTCGAGCGTCAAACGAATCCGGAAGTGACATTGTGTGGAATACGAAGGGAGATAACTCCGTCATTGGATAGCGTATATGCTTCTTGAAAATATGGTCAGAATTTATTTTCGGTGTAATTCTGAACTACAGTCAAAATCACCCTTTATCTTTTCATTCAATGGCACACACCACTGAACGGAAAAGCCTTCCTGTGGTAAGTACTGCCATTAAATTTCGGCCACCTGCTAGACATGCTAAGAATATTTGTGTCTTCAGTTTTCAAATGTTGGATCGAGAATTTTGGCGAAATGTTTTTTCAGAGGGTAGTCTGGAATTGAAGCAGCCAGTTTGAAACTAATGCCATATAGCTCAAGAAAGCTGCTTTCTGTTTGTCGACTTCTTGTTGGTCATTCTTTGGTCGGTCAAAGTTTGCAAAAAGGTGTTCTACAATGACCTGGGATGTCACCAGATCTTTCTGTAAGGGTAGTGAGAACTAAGATCTGATGTTAATGTGTTTGAGTGAACCAATCATCAACGGTGTATTATATGAACCATTTCGTAGAGTCCTGAAGATGACATGAGTTTGTTTAAACGTTTCTTTCCGTCAAATGAATCCCATCGGACCCGTTCGAGTAGAGAAGACTACTAACGGCTTTGATAACAAATAGAGACAACAAACAGTACAAGCTTATTCATTTCGGATGTAGTTCTACATGGCAGCTTACCTTTGGTTTTAAGGTTCGCAGTGGCTGTTTTTGTCGAGTTCACTGCCACGCCCCTTGCAGCATCAATGACTGTATAAGTCTTGTAGCCTTGAAAATTAATAGTACAACGAGAACATGATGAAACCAAAAACACGTTTACAAAACGGCCGTGGCCCCTCCACTGCCATTTTCTCAATGGCGCCAAAACCACACAGCCATAGGCTTTCAGTTAGCCTAGTAATGAAACCAAAAGCAACAGTCCTCAGGAACATATAAAAGGACGTCCGTTGCCTCTAACTAACGTTATAAGAATGTTCTATGCACTTCTGGTTTGGGGAAGTGAAGGGTAAGTGCAGCAGGATTTCAAACCAGAAAGCCACATGACTATCGCTGATTTACCAACTTTCATATTTACGGTCACTATTTTTTCTAAAGGGAACAGCTAGCTTAAGAAATTGAGTCTTACTGTGAACACGGAATAAAATGCATCTGGATATAAAACAACTATTTTTACTATCATTTGCAGATGACGCAGTGCGTTTTGCTGATTTTGTTTACTGCTTACAAAATGTATTAACGTTTCGGAATGTGTCTGTGAAAGTCACTTGTGAACTTCAAATAAACGAAACTTGTTATTAAACATGAAATATGGTACCTGCGTGACACTCAACTTAAAACGGTTCCATTTCATTAAAATGTAGGTGTTGTTTTCTTAAGATCGTTATCATGGTCTCAACACTTTGGTAATGCTGCTGTACAAGCGAAGAAGAGTCTTCTTTGTGTATTCAAATCCTTATTTATGATTAAGCTGTTCCGGTATGATCTATTTTTTGTTTAAAAATGATACAAAAATTAGTCCTATTTTACTTTATGGTCCAGAAATATGTGGAGTGGATATTCACAAAGAAATTGAAATGATACAAATGTTTGCTTGTAAACACTTATTATGTGTTAATTCATTATCTTCAAATCATGTAGTTAGAGGTGAACGTGGACGCTACCCTTTGTGTATATTCACATATAAACGGGCTGTTATAAATACTGGTGTAAAATAATGTAAATGCCTGACACCAGATATGTCAAAAAATTTTATTTTACACAGGTTTGGTTATATATGGCAATGTGTATAATGCATCTAGGTTTTTTTATCATCTGAGTGTGTTTAGACTGTACAGTGTGTATCATCCTAGCATGATTTGCGTGTAGCACCCTTTTCTACTTCTAAATTGGTAACCTACGCCTTTTTCAAAATATCATTCCTTTGTACTAGGAACAATATTTAAGGGAACCCCTGCCATTTTAGCTATTAAAATGAAATCGCCATCTTTGTTGCACAAGACACAGCCACAACAACTGAACGTGGATAGCAAACTTTGCATATTGCACCTATAAAACATGCCGTTTCACGGTGATACAACGTGGCCACTGGCAGGTGCTAATAAACTTCACAACCACGTGGTTCATTGATCCGGCACAAAGGAAAATGCAAAATTACGCACAAGTTGGCATGATTGAAGCTGGCTTATCACAGGAGGCAGTTGCTGGACTGGTCAATCTAAAGGTGTAATATCCCTACGGATCGAACATATCGGCAAAAAAGGGTGGGGTTAAGATTAGGGTTGGTAGAGGCAGGCCCAGAAAGAAGTGATAAGTACACACCACTGCGCTGAGGAACAGATTCATTTCTGCACAAGAACTGAGGGACAATTTCAGGGCTGCCACAGGAACCCGAGTTTCAGTACGAAACAATCTGGAAAATGCGTCGTTCCAGAGGAATGGGTCTGACTGAGGCCTCCAGGCGCCTCAGACAATAGTGGGCACATCAGTTTAGAGGTTGTCTACTACGTGTTTTCTGACGAATCGAGGTTATGTTTACGCTATACAGGTGTGTGGAGACAGCATGGATAGAGTATGAGGCAGCAGTCGAAGAGCACGATAGGTATGGAGATGGCACCATAATGACCTCAGCTGGCATCATGCGAAGTCAACGTTAGGTGGACCAAATATTATCTACAGTTGTCAATCCTTTTGCCCAGTGTGTTGGTCAGAACTTTGAGTCCAAGGATGAAAACGCACGTCCTCACAACTCGTGTTGCTTTTGACTGTCTGAGGCTGCAAGGTGTCACAACAATCATTGTCCTTGCCAGCCAAATCTCCAGACAGTTACTGTCAGTGAGTGAAAATGGTTTTACGCCGCTTTTAGCAATATTCCAGCAATATCGCATCGGGGACACCAGAAATAGGCTTCAGTAGTATAGGTAAAAGGGGTTCTGGCTCACTTCCACTGGAGCCGGATTCATATACCTATACTGCTACTACAGGGGGGATTTTTTATGCCAAAATGATTATGCGATTTAACGATAGTCATAAGATTCAGCTAAATTGACTCTAGGTCACCACCACCTGGAGCCAATCATTGCTTTAGATGAGTCTAAATGGTAATAAAAATATTCTTCATTATTTTTATGGATAAATCGATATTCAACATTTTTATTAAGTTCTTCGTTCATTTTACTAGGAGACCAGACTATATAACTACACTCTTTTTGTAAATTGATAAGAAACAATTTATAACCGTATTTGGTTGGTTTGACATCACTGATATAATAAAAACCTTGTGGTAATTCTTTCCATTTAATAGCTTTCTCCATTATTATATATATTTATGTAAGCATTTGTCTAAATGTGATCAAACGATAGTAAGCAATCTATTTTTAATCTTCAACCAGTTCTTTGGTTTTGGCACGGAATAATTGATGCGCTTGTTGCCTCCCCTGTTCTATGAACTTTTTTTTCTCGTCTTCGCTAATACCACTGGTCTTACGAGATTTTGATCGAATCTCCTGCTTCATTTCATTGTATTTGGTGAGTTCCGACAGCACTAAACGAAACTCATCCTCGGATATCTTACAATCGGCCATTGCTGTCGAAATATGATCCTCAATGCTGTTCAACTTTGCATCGGCGAGTATCCGAATACTATCGTGTTTTAATGCTTTCTTTTGTAACTACGAGAAATGAATTTTATCGCTATTCCTGCTTGTCCCGAGACTCCAGCTGTTATTTCCATGCCGAGCACGATAGGCGCGGAGATTATAGTTGATAGTAAACCGATACCCGCTACACCGAGTCCCATGCCAGATACTACAAGAGCGGTGTCAACTCCGTCCAGAGCATTCACGGCTCTGCGATACTTTTTATACAATCCAAGTCTCAACTCCCTATCCTTCTCTATTCGATGTTTTATGTCGCTTATTTGATGTAATCGAAATCCATCAACAGTTTTCATCTTTTCAAATGCTTCATCGAGCGCTGGATATAAACTCATAGTGTATATTACGATCATATAATAGTATTTAATTGGTCTTGCTTAAATGTTTTGAGACTATACATCAACCTTATCAAATGTATATTATACGGCAAGAATATCTTAGAAAGAGAAATGCTGTCACTTTTAATAATTTGAACCCCCTCGAGGGTTGCAACAGGCGATGCTCCGATATGAATAATACTGCAACGTTGACGCTCGTGTTTCTTGAGCCATTTAATCGATAGACCTGGTAATATTTTGAAGGCATTGTCCGGTGCATCTCCGAATAAGACTTCAATAATAAGAGTAGAAATATTAGGTATTGCACTCAAGTTAACTTTAATATCTTCGAAATTCAGTAATCAAATTTAAACTAACGTTTTGGATTGCCGGACGCCAATATAACATATGACCTGGGTTTTCTGGCAGGGGGGTAACTAACACACTTTTTCGTTTTGATGGGATATAAGCCGCGAGTACGTTGCCACTATTTATTATCTTAGTTAAATTATGTAGATATTCAGTAGCCACTCGATGTTTGCTTCAATCATAGCCCATTTATTATCGTCTTTGCGAGTAATATTATACGAAGTGTTTTTAATTAGTCTACTAACGTCGACATTGCTTAAATCTTCTAGATTACCCGTGAATGTGACTTCTTTCCGCTTGTATACATTATCGTGTAAGTGTAAAGCGTATAACTTACCATTGTAACCGGGTTTATCAAATCCTTCTGTGTCTCCGAGATCGGAAAGCGCAATTGTATTACATTGTCTTAGTGTTCCAGGGCCTGATGCATCAACCATTATTTATAATATGGAGTGTTACACTTAAGTATCCTATATGTACAGGTTGGTGTTTTACATCTAATACAGAAATTTTGAGGTCTGAAATAATACCACGCTTCAATTTTTTATATTGTAATAACGAGAAAGATTCCGTTCTACCACTATTATATTTTTCATTTTTCACTGGAACACTTCTGAGTAGAGTTGAAGGACTTTCTAGTTGAATATTATCCGTCGTGCTTATTTGATCAAGATGGATGAACAACTCTTTATAGGGAACTAAATGAGGTAATTTAACCTCTTGATCTGGTAACTTGTTAATTGTGCCAACTAAGCGTGTAAATTCAAGTGTAGGTGATTGGTCCAATAAAAGTATAGTTTCTTCATGGTCGAATTTCACTGTCCCAGTCGCCTCATTTTGTGTGAGACTAATTCTATTAGGCTTAAAAATTTCAGCATTGAGTGAGCTTACGCTGTAATACCCATCAGGTATAGTAATGTATTTGACAGTACCAAGTGCGGATAATATAATTATCCTATTATTATCTTTTGCAGCATTTATATTGGTCCACCTCGGGTAATACATTACAGCGACTTCGAGTTGTCCATCTGAGTTATCGATAGTACGAAGCAGTTGAATAGACTGACTATTTGTTATTCCCAGGAGTGTAACATACATATCAAATATACAATGATACTATATCATAACTTAAATATGGAATCAACCATTATTTATAATATGGAGTGTTACACTTAAGTATCCTATATGTACAGGTTGGTGTTTTACATCTAATACAGAAATTTTGAGGTCTGAAATAATACCCCGCTTTAATTTTTTATATTGTAATGATAAGAAAGATTCCGTTCTACCGCTATTATATTTTTCATCTTTCACTGTAATAGATCTGAGCAGAGTTGAAGGACTTTCTAGTTGAATATTATCCGTCGTGCTTATTTGATCAAGATGATGCACAACTCTTTATAGGGAACTAAATCGGGTAATGCATCTC